TCAAATGACTAATCCAAATACATGCTGGTGAATCAATCAAGTGAACTAACCCAATTACATGCTGGTGAATCAATCAAATGAACTAATCTAATTACATGCTGGTGAATCAATCAAGTGAACTAATCCAATTACATGCTGGTGAATCAATCAAATGAACTAACCAAATTACATGCTCGTGTACCAATCAAATGAACTAATCCAATTAAATGCTGGTGAATCAATCGAATGAACTAACCCAATTACATGCTGGTGAATCAATCGAATGAACTAACCCAATTACATGCTGGTGAATCAATCAAATGAACTAACCCAATTACATGCTGGTGTATCAATCAAATGAACTAATCCAATTACATGCTGGTGAATCAATCAAATGAACTAACCAAATTACATGCTGGTGAATCAATCGAATGAACTAACCAAATTACATGCTGGTGAATCAATCAAATGAACTCATCCAATCACATGCTGGTGATTCAATCAAATGAACTAATCAAATTCAGTGCTGGTGAATCAATCAAATGAACTAACCCAATTACGTGCCGGTGAATCAATCAAATGAACTAACCCAATTACATGCTTATGAAGAAATGAAAAGACTTAAATCTATCACCAAATTGTAAAAAATGTAATTATTTTAATTAAATAACAACCTAATTGCCTGCTTGGCAAAGAATCAAATGACGTAATCCAGAATCTAGTATCATATTCATCTTACACGCAAATAGAAATTCATGATGTACATCATGCGATATATTAAATCAGTAATAATCAAAACAAATTCTATTTTAACAGAATTCTATTTTGTGGCCCCCACAAGGTGGACTCATTCGGATTTGGTCGATTATAAGTAGACAGAATGACGGATTCTGGCAAGTTAAGAAAAAGCAGTCCAATGGTAATTTTTTGCTCGATGGTAAAGGACGATACGATGATCGTTGTAAGTAATTCCCATTCGTATATTTGCGCTAGTCTTATAGCCACATAATCATCGCTAGTTATTTCATCTTTTTAGTGGCAGAAAAAAACACATTTAGCATACTACATCTGCTTTGCAGCAATGTCCTATATGTACAGAAAGCCATATCATGACACATTTGTTTTGCAGCGATGTTTCGTGTGACGGAAAGCCATATCATGATATTGTGATAGGTATTTTTGATGTTTCGAAACCTTTCACTTAGGTAACCGGGATTCGATTGTTCCCCACGTTGGACTCACAAAAACACACACACAAGCTCAATTCGTGTCGCATTCGATTCTCTCCTGCCTCGTGCTTTCTTCCCGAGACAGCTTCAAATCACTTTTATTACTTGTCAACCATTAGCCAATTACAATAGAGTATAAGAGACTTAGAGGCGTTGCCCCCAAACACACAGCCAATCACACGAAAGTTTTACACATCATAATACAATTGATTAATCGTCACTATATTAGGAAAACCACTATCGTATTGTCGACGTCAGTTTATATTTATGGGTACTAATGGTCTTGCAATAACATTCCACAGTTGACATCAATATACATCATTCGTTCTGGCACAGGGAGCCCAGGAACTATAACCAACTGTAATACGCAGTCTCTATGAGCGGGGGGGGGGGGGGTATCGGCTGGTATCTAGTGTAAGAAATAGACAAGGGATGAAGGCTCCAGCCAGCTCACATTTTTTAAACTCGAAAAAACAGACGAAAAGAATGAAAAATAAAATATAAAAAAAAT